GTCTGCATCTGCCACCTCCAGTGTCTGCTGCTCCCTCCACGTTGCTCACCATCCACATCCCAGCCCCTGGCTCCTCTATTCCTCCCCGTCATCTGGCTCTCCACCAGGCCTCGGCCTCTCCAGGAAGCCGACCCTACCCCGCACCCTGAGTCCAGTCTGGTGGCCCTCCTCATCCTCTCACTGCACCTCTTTTGCCCATTGCACTCAGGATCCAATGGCCAAACCGGCCAGAGTCCCTGCTGCAACGCCTGGACTTGAAATGTGCCGGGCCTCCTGCCATCAGCCCCCCAAGCACAGCCCACACCTAGGAAAGATACACACAAAGGGCCCTCTGGGCCCTGCTGCCCTCCTCCCCCCTTCTCTTCTCTATTCCTCTTTTCTCCTCACCTTTTATCTCCTCTCCTCTCTCTTCTCTCCCTTTTCCTCCCATCTATCTATACTCTCTCCTCTGACCTCGCCAAGCCCTGTGGGTTTAAAATACCATATCCACGCTATCTCTCAGATTTGTATCCACAGCCCAGACCTGTATCCACAGCCCAGACCTTTTCAATGGACTCCAGATCTGAGGATCTCCACTCAGGTATCTCCCAGGCATCTCGAACCTAACACATACAGAACCAGGCTCTGCAGCTATTCCCCCAAAGCCAGCTCGCCAGCGTCCCACCCCAGCACACGGGGTCTTCCCCTTCTCAGTGAGCAACATCACTCACCCCCTTCCCAGCCACTCAGGGCAGGGACGAGGAGTTTTCCTCCAGGCTGTCCTGTTCTTCACTCCCTACTCCCTCTCTTCAGTCCATCAGCAAGTCCTGTCTCCTTTACATCCAAACCAGGCAAGCTCAGGAGATTCCCTCCCTGGCTGCAGCCAGCCCCGCAGCCCAGGCCACCATCACCCCCAACCCGGACGGCTGCAGCATCCTCTGGGCTTTCCGCCTTGTCCCTCTGCTCCCCGCTCCCCCACACAGCAGCTGAAGGGAGCTGCTGCTTGCAGAATCAGGTTGGCTCACTCTCCTGCTGAGAACCTTCCAAAGGTTTCCATTGCCCTTGGAATAAGCCGTGCTGGCACCCCAGCTTGCAAGTTGTGTGGGACCCAGCCCCGGCCTGCCTCTCCAGCTCATCCCAGGACTCTCTGCCCCTCACGCATCCATCACTTCTGAGCCGCCCTGACCCCTCCTGCCAAAACGACGACACACCAAACCTATTCCCACCTCAAGACCTTTGTCCCTGCAGTGCCCCCACCTGGTCCCTTCCCTCTCTCATGGCTGGTTCCTGTCACTATGCAAATCTCATCTTTACATCATTTATTGAGAGATCTCATCCCTGACCACTCATCCCTTTAAGAACATCCTCCATCTGTCACCTCCTGTCTCAACACCCTACCTGTCACAATTTGTATTATCTTTATTTGCTGTTTCTTTCCTATCTCCCCCAGGATATGCCCCATGAGGGCAAAAAGCAGGTCATTGCCTAGTCGGTGCTTGATAAAAATTAACTGGCCAGAGAATGAAAGTGACTAAGGTGCAACTTTGGGATCAGACACACCTGTGTCCTCCTTCCTGCGCTGCCACGTGGCAGCTGAGTGATCCTGGGCAAGGTCCTCCACCCTCTTTTCATCTCAGTGACAAATTGGGAATAAGAATGCTGTTTCATAGGGTGGTCGTAAGGAGCAAATGAGATGATGTAAGTGTCGTTCTTAGTATTAATAAATGCATTAAAAGCAAATAAAGAACTAAGTGCTAATAAATGCGATATTATTAAGCACGTCTGCTGGGTGAATAAGTAGCCCTGTAAAGCAGGGAGTTAGAGACGTGGAGTCCAAGGCTCCGGGAGTGGGGGTGACTTGGTCAAGGTCAC